GGGAGGGGCGGGCGCCATCTTGTGCTTCGTGCTGCCGCCGCCACCGCCACCGCCGCCGCCGCCGCCGCCGCCGCCCACCGTCGTCCGCGCTATAATGCCTGGGAGGTCAAACGCCACAAACAACAAGGTTCTAACAAATGGTTTCAGTGTCTTCTCTCGGCAAGTGATTTTCTTTCACAGGCGCTGGGCAATGCCCAGCAAGACACTGTGCTAATAAGGCGTTGACGTCTCAAGTATGTCACTTAAGAGTCTTATCTTCAACTAAGTCGCTATATGTCCGTAAAATCGCAGAGAGATAGTAATTTTGGATGCAACGCGAGTGTCTGGTCCAGTATTATTAATGTTAGTAGTATGAGTATTACTGTTATTTAACATGTACGGTATTAATCGAGCTAAATAATTACCCCTTGCTGACAGTGGCCTTGCTGACACTTAATGAGACGTGATGTATGTCCCAACTCATACTCAATGAGACAGAACGTGATTGAGGTATTACGTTGGCCAAATAATTTCAACATTCCAAGAACGTAGAAATGTAGGACAGTACGAGTATGTTGCAAAGAATGTTAGGGAGTGACAGAAAAAATGTATATAATTTTTTTCGAAAGAATGCCCCAATTTTAAACGATTCTCTCTTGTCATTTGGTAAGTCGTGACGCAAGTTCCTTCCGCAAGCGCCGATGTCGCATGTCCTTCGCATCACTAGAGATAAACGATCGTAAAAATACAATACTTTAGTTGTTAATGGGAGGTTTTTATCATTAGAGACTCAAAACATTTCATTTTTTGCAGTGAACAGGTGTGGCCGCAAAACTACACGGCAAACCATTAAATGTCGCTAAAACATGGCATGTCAACTCAAAAGAAAGCAGTTTCACCACCTTTATGTCTCTTGCGCGCTGTTTCCCATCGTGAGTGAAAATAAAAAGTATTCGTAATTGTATCACCCCTGAATGAATCAAAACAATTCACATATTCTATATCAAGAGACATTCTCTTAATTTGAAGGGGGGAAGTAATTTTTTTAGATTACTCACATTCATTAAAAATATCCAATGAAGGAAGGAGTCAGGAATAATTTGTACCTCTAAATGCCGAATTGCAGGGAATTAAGTGACTTGAGCTCAGAAATGAAGTGAAAGGAAAACAAGAAGTTGAAGAAGTTGGCAGTAAGCGTAGGAATTATTCTATCACCTAATTGTGCGATGGAATGTGATTTTGTGCCTTGTAAATATTGTGATATTGTGCCGAAATCTAAAAGAATACTAGTCCAAGAAAGAGAAAATAGTCCAAGAATAAACTAGGTTTTCCTTGAGAGTAGCATGCAATGAGATGTATGAATTTACCTGTGTCAAATACATTTACAAAATTTGAGTCGACAAAATGAGAAACATTTTTATTGGGAACGTACGGACAAGTAGACATTTGAGGCACACGATTTTTTTCTGCGTTTTATAATATTTGATTTTGCAAGATATTGCATTTTGTAGATAATACTCTTGTAATACTGTTCACCCTTAGTAACAATAATTACGACAAAATAATACGTCTATAAAATGTGATCAATATCATAGCCTCAAGAAGCATAACAATTCCAATCAGAGAGAGACCATACCATTGACCATACCATACCATATACCATTGACCTCAATAAATAAACATCTCGTTTGTATCTCAATAAGTAACAACTCTTACTCCAAAAATTGTTTTACGATAATTCTATCTGACGCATTTACTTAGTTCAATTTACAAAGTTTTAATTTTTGTGTATTTTGTTCGGTTACTGTGAAAGCCGGATTAACAAACACCCCCTTTTTTGTTATATACTTCTTAAGCTTTTTTTATTATACTTCTATAGGAGGTCAGGAAAGTCTCTCCGCAATGGCACCTAGCTAGTGTGAGTACTCGCAACATAAATAGTGTTGGTAGCACGAGCAGCAGCTTTAAAACGTTAATTGCATAATCTCAGTAATCATAATAGAAACTGGAAATGACACCTACACTTGTATTCCAATGATCTTGCTTCTACCAATATAAATGCAATGTTTAATAGCAGTCCCTAATTCGGCTCGGTGCAGAGAGACTTTCCTGGTGTACTGTATATAATAGGTTACATACAAATATTGCAGTACATGCTAAATGAACTTTCTGCACTTTTCCTTGGACATTTTTTCCATGAAATCATTGAAATTAATTTTGCCTAAAACATCATACTCTAGCAATACCAGTTTGATCAATTTTATGCACTGCCACAAGTCATGACCAAATGTTTCTTTTGCAGTTTTTTTAAATATTCGTTTTTATATTTGTGGGGCCCCCAAATGTGTGGGGACTCCAGGGCTACAGTCCCTGTAGCACCACCTTAAATATATGTTCAAGAGATGTGTTTTATTTTTATATCATAAGAGAATACTGTGACATTCGATACCGTTGTCATGTAGTTAGTTTAAAATTAATCTCGGTAAATAAAAAATAACATAAAGCTGATATTTGAAATCTGACTGATGTATTACTCCATTTAAATGGATAATTTGTTTGCTATAGTAGAGGAAACGGTAATTAATACATATAAAATTGGGCCAATAACTGGCAACTTACTTCTCTAAACACTGGCATAGGCGAAGTATAAAGTGATGGTCCGCCACTTTGGATTCATTTGCACAACCCTTACTTTTAAATCTCGCGCCAGTTCCCGTGAAGCTCCTGTGAGCTAGTGACATTGCCCGCGGCCTTGACATGCTTGATTTAATGTAATTGAATGTAACCAGTCACGAAACGCAACTTTAAGTTTTAATTCAATTTGAACTACCAACATACTTAAAACTAGTGACCCGGATCAGCAAAAATGCTTCTGAACTAATCTACGTAAATTGTTTTTTAATAATTAGCACCATTCGAAAACGAATAAAATTATCTCGTATATTACTACAATAAATGAAATATTTTAACAAAGATAGTCTTTACGAATATCAATACAGTAGCTGTTTCATAACACAAAACATGAATAGTAACTATTTAATGGCCAACGAGGCCAGCTGTGATGCACAGAGTATGAGATTTCAGTCGGTAGGTGCACTATGAAAACAGGCTGAATAACACACTCAAATATTTGCATTTTCAGTAACAAAATCGAAGCTTTAATTGTTTTTTTTTTTATTTTTCTTCTGTTTCTGATTAGCAAAGGAAACCACAGGCACCTTCCAAAAGGACGGAGTCTGCTTGGTTTTCTTTCAATTTCTGCCTGCATTCGAAGTTATAGCTCGACCATTTAGAAAAAACCAACCGTGAAGTCGCTTACCTCGGGAGGCGTGGCTAATCCATCCCCCATTGCTACCGAAGGGGAGCTAAGTTGATCTCAAGCATCACCTGCATTGATAACTAATTCGCTCTTGCAACTTAGTTCTCACGTTTCAACACTAGGGTTCAGGACGTTCGTCAGCTAGGTCTTCTCCCCGCCCGCCCAGGCCGAGGCGGCCCAGGCCAAGGCGGGGAAGTTGTGCCTAAGGGAGGGAACCTTTCCATCCGCCACTTTTCGCGCATGCGCAGTCCAGTTTTTTTTTTTTTCTAAGTGGTCAAGCTATAGTAATATCTGTATCGAAATGGAGAGATCCGTAAGTAACAGTGTGCCGTGAAAGCGGGAGCGCTTACTTTTGACGGTGGCGGTGTAGGCGGCGGCCGCCGCGTCGTCGCCCGCGCCGCCGGCGAAGATGGGGTTGTCCACCTTGTCCTTGTCCTTGTCGTCGGCGCTGCGCTCGGCGTCCAGGAAGCCCCGGCCGGCCGACGCGTCCTCGCCGCGCCCTTTGCGCCGCTTGCTGCGCACACACAGCGCCCCGGTGAGGGATTAGGGCTCCCGCAGACCGGCGCGGATCATCCGCAGCGGATGCGGCGCGGAAAGTTCGCGGCGACGAAATCCGCCGGACCGTTCACACCGCAGCGTCAATTAAGAGACAGCGTTTGGTGACAGCTTTTCTCATCCAACAAACAAAACGCGCTCGCTTCTTTTAATGCACGAGATAGAAAATGCCAATACTCGTACTATGTTTTTTGAGCACATGCGGTACGGTGCTTTTACCTCCTTTATCTACCATTTTCCATCGAATTGATAATATATCTTTAGAAAACGAAAAAAAGGAGTCCATGAGTTTGACTCGGAAAGGAAAAAGTACGAAGAATTTCATACCCTGATGCCACAAAAGGCGAGAAACGCTTTTATATTTACTAGAATGACCAATGCCTATTTTAATCGTATTCTTGTCGTTTTCATTACATATTTGAAAGGTTCCGGCGTAAAACATCGAAACTTACGTGGAAACGTTTGCGAGATATAATGAAGAGAACATGTTTGCCGAAAGACGTGCAAATGCGGTACATAAAGATGGACAAGAGCCGGGGACCAAAATTTGCGTCTTGATGTGGACTATTTCAGAACCACAGCATATGTCGAGCAGATGGAAGCGTACGAAAATGTTAATATCACTTTGAATACCATCTTTTACTCCGGAGCCCTTCATTTATGATCATATTTTACTCACTGCCTCGGCAAGTGAGGCGTTAGCTTACTGGACTCTGAACCCTTTGCGCGGGCTCGACACCGACCCGAGGTGCCCGGATTTTCGAAGGGCGGAAAATCCAATAGTACGAAGAAGGCATGTCACACTTGTGGCATGTAAAGAATCTTGGCGGTATGCCCGGAAAAATTAAATCCCACGGACAACATTCCACCCCAAAGAGATCTCACTTTCTCCCAATCAGATTGCTCGGATGTAGTTAACTGAGACCAACATCTGGCGAAGAAGGTGAGAGCAAAATCCCCGACGCAATTAGAGGATCGCCCGCTAGGTGCTCCTGTTTGATAAAGATTCCCAGACCCGCATCAGGGTAGGCATCCTAGGAAGCGTGGGTCTATACATTCAGGTGCGGAACACCTGCGTAAGGGCAGTCTCCCATACAATAAATAAATAAACAAAATAAATACTCACTGCCTGTAGATGTAGAGCAGCAACAGCAGCACGACGAGCGCCAGCGCGCCCAGCAGCGCCCCGAAGACGGCGAGCAGCAGCAGCGGCGCGGGGGCGCC